TACAAAAAATTGACTACATGCTTCCATATTTCTTGGCATGGCTTTGATTGGACTAATATTTATCATCATAAGTTCATTGACCTTGAGTGGCTTTACACACTTTCTGGGTGCAGAGTTTTGGAAACAAATTCCTCCAAACGAACCTTACCGTGTTATTCTTGGGGATGTACGAGACAAGTTATACAACACACGTGAGCGTGCTCGTCATTTATTAACCAGTGGAATCTCTGACATTCCCGAAAATTCTACTTTCACCGATGTTGAGCAGGTTTTTTCCAACACTAAAAAAATGTCTTAAATTTCCAAGCTTACAATTTAAAATGTCAAGAGCAATCACTTGAGTATTTTTAAATTTTATTGTACTCCAGTAGAATTATCTAAAAATTATTTATTTTGTCGATTCAAATATATCATATGATAGTCACAGTGAACAAGAATGTTGGTTTAAATGAACATCTTCTAGAATTTGATAGTAATGAGTTCATTTTGAACCAACACGTAGGCCACATTTGTTAGCTGGAAATTTTATGGAAGTTTTTTATCACCATAAATTTTCTTGACAAGTTAAATGCATGCTAACCAAAGTCATGGCTTCTAATAGAATRGTAGCATATAAAGTGTGAAATAATCTTGGTGCTTTTTTCTTTCCCTCTCTTCTAGTTCTGACATGTTTTATTTTTCTCCATAGTTCCTGGAGCCTCTCGAGCTCTGCTACAGGTCACTCTGTGCTTGTGGCGATAGRTCAATTGCTGATGGGAGCCTTCTAGATTTCTTACGGCAAGTTTCWACATTTGGRCTGTCACTTGTGAGACTTGATATCCGGCAAGAATCAGAAAGGCATRCTGATGTCATCGATGCTATCACTAATTACTTGGACATTGGWTCATACAAAGAATGGTCCGAAGAACAAAAACAAGAATGGTTACTATCCGAACTCAATGGAAAACGCCCTCTTTTTGGCCCTGATCTTCCAAAGACAGAAGAAATTGCTGATGTTCTGGACACCTTCAATGTCATTGCAGAGCTTCCTTCAGATAACTTTGGTGCTTATATTATCTCAATGGCAACAGCTCCATCTGACGTGCTTGCTGTTGAGCTTTTACAACGTGAATGTCATGTAAGGAAGCCATTGAGGGTTGTACCATTATTTGAAAAACTTGCTGATCTTGAGGCTGCTCCTTCTGCTATGGCTCGTCTCTTTTCAATCGACTGGTACAGAAACCGCATTGATGGTAAGCAAGAAGTCATGATTGGGTACTCAGATTCAGGAAAGGACGCTGGTCGTCTCTCTGCTGCGTGGCAGCTATACAAGGCCCAAGAAGAACTCATTAAAGTGGCTAAACAATATGGAGTGAAGCTCACAATGTTCCATGGTCGAGGAGGAACAGTTGGCAGGGGAGGGGGACCTACCCACCTTGCTATATTATCTCAACCTCCCGATACAATTCATGGTTCACTACGTGTCACAGTTCAAGGTGAGGTCATTGAACAATCTTTTGGAGAGGAGCACCTGTGCTTTAGAACACTTCAACGTTTTACTGCTGCAACGCTTGAACACGGCATGAATCCACCTATTTCTCCAAAGCCAGAGTGGCGTGCTCTCATGGATGCTATGGCAGTTGTTGCTACTGAAAAATATCGCTCCATAGTTTTCCAGGAACCCCGTTTTGTTGAATACTTCCGCCTTGTAAGTATTCTTAGCCATACAATTTATGAATAATCATGGTTGGTTAATATGACTTTGCGAGACAATATGCTTGCCTTGTGTTTGTTTTAGGAGCTTATTTGCAAGCTGACTGGCTTTCTTACGGTTTCAGTATTCAGTTAATTCTTTTATCAGTTTGACGGATCGTGTTCAGAAATTAACGATTTTTCATTTCTTTAAATATGCAGGCAACTCCAGAGTTAGAATATGGTCGAATGAATATTGGAAGTCGTCCATCAAAGAGGAAGCCAAGTGGAGGCATCGAATCACTGCGTGCAATTCCATGGATCTTTGCTTGGACACAGACAAGGTTTCATCTACCAGTTTGGCTCGGTTTTGGAGCAGCATTTAAATATATAATTGAGAAGGATGTGAAGAATCTCCATATGCTGCAACAGATGTACCGTCAGTGGCCTTTCTTTAGAGTCACTATTGACTTAGTTGAAATGGTGTTTGCCAAAGGAGACCCAGGAATTGCTGCTCTGTATGACAAGCTTCTCGTGTCGGAAGATCTATGGTCGTTCGGAGAGCGGTTGAGGGCTAACTATGAAGAAACTAAGGACCTTCTCCTTCAGGTATTGTCCATATGCTTTCTTGAAAATCATATTTCAGAAATTAGAAGCTTTTGCAAGCAACTAAGCAGTTTGATGTTAAATTTTCAGGTAGCTAAGCACAAGAATATTCTGGAAGGAGACCCATACTTGAGGCAGCGACTCCGTCTTCGTGATTCGTACATAACCACCCTTAACGTTTGCCAAGCGTATACATTGAAGCGGATCCGTGATCCCAACTACAACGTGAAAGTCAGGCCTCACCTTTCAAGGGAATATCTTGAATCAAGCAAACCTGCTGCAGAACTTGTGAAGCTCAACCCAAAGAGTGAGTATGCGCCTGGTTTGGAAGACACCCTTATCCTAACAATGAAGGGTATCGCTGCTGGTATGCAGAACACCGGTTAAAGAGGCAATGGCTTGTCGGTGCTACGTCTACGTCTACGCTTAAAGAGGAATACGGCGAGAACAGGGAGGAGAGTGGCAAGCCTTGGGATTCCGTTGGGGATTCTGGAAGCTACAAAGTAAAGAGTAAGAAATGAAAGCAATGGCGATGGTCCTTACTTTGGCGAGGCTGTTGAGTTCGCCGTCCATTTGGTTGCCAGCGGCGGAGATGGGTGGTCGTTCGTCTATGCAAATTTAATATTGAGATTGAGACATTTTAATAATTTTATTTGATTTATGTAAAAAATTGTTTTATTTTTATAATATGCAAATTATTTAATTTGAAAATGAATGGTTCTGTGCAAGGCACTAGTTCTTTTAGTCAACTTAGTATGGGTCGAATACAAGTCAATTGGCGTATCTGATAAGTTGTAATCATGTTATAGTTCGTGTTGTCTAAGGTATTCAACATATCAATTATTTTCCCTTGCAAAGAAAGAATAAATAAATAAACCATTCATTTTTCCTAAAAAAGATTTAAATACTATTTTAATATATGTATTCTATTTTATGATTTGGTTCATTTTTAGTACCTATATTTATAATATGATCATTTTAGTCTGGTATATTCAACTTTTTGTTTATTTTAGTACTCATACTTTGATATCAAGAAATGAGTGAAGTGGTTTCTAGAAATAGAAAAAAAAATTCAGAAATTAAGAGTTAGAGTTGTTGGTTACTAAAAATTGGATTTCATACTATGTTAAAATTATGACCAAAATAAATAAGATAAAAATTGAATGAAGTAACCAAAATAATCACTTTTTAAAAGTAGGGGGATCAAAATGGACAGAACTAAAAAATTGAAAGTACAAATGTTTTGAAGATACATAAACCAACATGAATCAAAATCAAAAGTTGATGGACCAAAATAATATTTAAACCGTTGTTCTAAACTATCTAAAGGAAAAAAAAAGTTGTTTGTTAGTTTTTCTCTTAAAATCAAAATGGAATTGATATGACTATTCTTCTTTACATTCCCTCCCATAACCACTGAACAAAAATATGAGCTTCTTTAATTAATTATCATAAAAGAGAAAAAGACTTGAAAATGTTAGTGGGAATTAATATCATCTTTRAAAATGCGATTAAAGTCTCACATTGGACTAGATAAAGATTAGAACATGAATATATGATTTATGAAGGATAACATGTGAAAGCAAAAATAGAGCATCGATAATAGCGTGTCATTTGTAAAAATATTGTAGGGATTGGTCATGAACTCCACCTCTGAATTATGATATTTTTTTAGACCACTTAAAAACTTAAGAGTTAGATATGAAAACTTTAAAATGATAGTAACATAATTTAAACCAATTCATTGCTATAATAACTTTTTTGATTATTTGGAATTATTTCCAATCACAAACCAATTCATCCAAGATTAAAAGTGACATATAAGTCCTACTTTATTGACTGTCAAAAAAATCTACTTGACTGTTTTTTTTTCAATAACATTAATCAACAACAGAAGAATATAGTTAATTGGTCGTACCTAACTTAAATCAATTAAATTTTTTCAAAACATGATCAATGAAAATGAATTGATTTCGTTAATCGAATTTGAGAAGAAAAATCCACCATTTTTTATTTTTTTTGGTACCAACTAGATAATGCAGAAAGCAAACCATGTCCATAAATTCATTTTGCCTCTCCAGTCGATTAAAAGCTAACACTTCATGAAAAATTTGAAGGAAAACATTAAAATTTATATATATATATATATAAACTGCCCCTTGAAATGATGGAAGGCCCATTGCCATTGGCTCTTTTTAGACTCACGCTCATCTTCAATCACCACATAAAATATCAATTCTAAATTTATACGTAGTATTTTCTTAGAAAATAGAAAAAAAGGTAATTAGCATTAATTAATATGGGTATTTCTTTCCAAATAAAGAAAAAAAAAGATACTATTCTAATTTTCAAGCTCCGTATCTTTTTTTTTTTACTTTTTATTTTACTATCAACTATAACTAATTAGTCCCTCTGAAAAAAAAAACTATAACTAATTAGTTGGTAATATTTTAATGTTTGATAATGAATTATATTGTAACATCGAGAATAAAATCGATTTCATTGTTTTCCCCCAATTTTTTATACTAAAATTTTTTTTATCAAATTATACTTTAGATATTAAGAGCTTATGTAAAAACATGTAATGCGGTCACAATTTACCTTTTTTTCATTTAATATATGAAAAATAATCTCTATAGTTCACTAATTACTATTAATCCTTTAAAAAAATCTTTTTTTTATACATCAAGTGAGGTGAGAAATTTAGAACTAATGATTTCTTGCTTAGAGATAATGTCAATTGTCGCTGAGATAAGTTCATGTTGACTGAAAAAATCATGCAATTATTGCTAAGAGAATAAATAAGTATCTTTTCTTCTTTTCTTTTCGTCTATATAATATTATTGTCCTTTTTCGAATTTAAGCCTAAATGAATTTGTTTTTAAAATTTATCTAAAGTACTCTTCAGTAAAAACCTATTGTTTTAGCTTATAACAAATTATAATGATAAATTAAGTTTATACCCATTATTGAACAAATATCAAAGTGGCAGTAGATTTGAGTTATTTATAAAGTATAGATAAAATAACATATGTAAAAAGAATTATATTATGTTATGTAATTATATTATGTAAAAGCTTTGTTATTTAAATACATCAAAGAATAATAGAATCTCCAACACGTGATAGAAATATATATCAGACTTATTATTTTTCTTGCACTATTTTTTGTTCCATGGAAGGATATCCAAAATTTTGATGCTTAATTCGATATGAATTTGAATGTTTTGAATATCATACTTAATAAGGAGGGAAAAAGAGAGTCAAATAAGAATAATTAAAATTAAATTGATTCGTTTCTTTTTTACTTCAAATTGATTTGATAAATTAAAGTTTAGTTTTCTCCCACTTTTAAATTTTGATCTATTATGTGTCATAATGTTGGTATTATAATTGTATTGAAATTATATTTTTATTTTAGAAAAATATTTTACACCAATCTGAACAATACTCATAGGTCAGATATAAACTTTTCCTTATTTGTAATTTACAATTACCATAACATAATAATTTATGAAAATATACTCTTATATATAAAAATCATGATCTGGATTTAAAAAAATAAATTTAAAAATTAGAAAGTAAAAAAGAAACCAAATAAATTCACCTTTTTTCAATTTAGAGAGTGATGACCCATTTCCTTAAGACTCTAATGATTTCAACTTAGTTATTGTTTTTTTTTAATTCTCAATTTACACTTAAATTCTCTATAAGTAATTAATTTCTTTTTTATTTCTAAATTATGTTTATAGACAGTTGGTATGTTATTAAATTATTATTTTGTTCACATTTTTTACATGTGGGATGTCATTTCAAATAAATGTATTTTGTTGATAGACGAGTTGAATTTTGATTATGGATGATATGAATTGCAGTACTGTATTGACGTGTGTATATGTTAAAATATATTAAAATGTATCTAAAAAAAATTAAAACGTTAATTTGATAATGAATAAACCTTTGGCATCAAATTTTAATTGTGCATAAAAGATAAAAATAAAATTTTTTAAAGATTAATGAGGAAACTGAAAATTACTTATAAAATTTAAAAATGATCGGGTATAATTGACCTACATAAAATTGGCCAATCAATCTCTGCTATTGTGTTGACTGCATTTACTAAACAAAACCAATTTTAGAAAAGGAAAATAAAAAGGAAACAAAAGCCGTTTTTACGAAAAAAAATATAAAAGTATATTGTTAAAAAAAATAGTGGATGTCGTTAATGCTGATTGAAATAACTAGAATTGTTGTACGAAAAATTGAAAGCGAAAACTGAAAAGGAAAAGGAAAAGGAAAACGAAGACGAGAAGGATAATGCTTCTTCTTCGTCTATAAATTGGGAGCTACAAACAAGAGTCTCTCCCGAATCACATTACTTCTGTCAGTTTGTTTTCTCTGTTCTGCTCTACTCGTGATTTTCGGCTTTCGAAGGTATTCGTCTTTTCCGCCCCTTTCTCGTGCCAAGATCAGTAGCTCTTTCTTTCGGAAGCGTGAGGTGAGGGATCTTCTACCATTGGGAATTTGTATGATTTGTACTGTCGATCATCACGAGCTCTCACTTTTTTGCTTTTTCTTTTCCCCTTTAGTTTTAATGTCTTCTTATTCGGTTACATTGTGCTGATTCGGGTGGTTGGGTTTGTGAATAAAGGACGAAGCAGTGGAGAACTAAATGGCGGCGCCCAAGAACTTGGAGAAAATGGCTTCCATTGATGCTCAATTGAGACTTCTTGCACCGAGTAAGGTGTCGGAGGATGATAAGCTGGTGGAATATGATGCTTTGTTGCTCGATCGCTTTCTGGATATTCTTCAGGATTTGCACGGGGAGGATCTCAGAGAAACTGTAATATGCTCGTTTACTTTATTTTGTGTTTACATTCCGATTTCTGTTTGATTGAGTTTARTTAACTTACAATAGAGTTGGCTGTGTGGGTTTATATGAACATGTTGAAATTCAATCATAATGTTACTGCATTAATTGTAGAATGTGATTAGGAAGTCAAAGAAAAGAGTTCTTATTTCTGATTTTGTGATGTTGGTGGACTAGGTTCAAGAGTGCTATGAATTCTCAGCCGAGTATGAGAGGAAGCACGACCCTCGGAAATTAGAGGAACTTGGGAATGCCTTAACGAGTTTGGATCCTGGGGATTCTATTGTTGTTGCAAAATCCTTTTCCCATATGCTTAATTTAGCCAATTTGGCCGAGGAAGTTCAGATTGCCTATCGGAGGAGGATAAAGTTAAAGAAAGGTGGCTTTGCTGATGAGGCCAATGCTACAACTGAGTCAGATATTGAAGAAACCTTCAAGAGGCTTCTGCAGTTGAACAAGTCTCCTCAAGAAGTATTTGATGCTTTAAAAAATCAGACTGTGGATTTGGTCTTTACAGCCCATCCTACTCAGTCTGTCCGCAGATCTTTGCTTCAAAAGCATGCCAGGTTCGTTCCTTCCCCTTTGAACTTGCAAGAAAGAGAGACAATCGGTTAGGAACAGCTCTAGTTTTTTTCATTTGAATACTCTGCAAGAAGATAAAAATTTGAGATTGTCAGGACAGGTAATCATTTGTTTTTTCTAATATTGCTCTTGATTGTATATATCTTTCCAGGATAAGAAATTGCTTGACGCAGTTGTATGCAAACGACATTACTCCTGATGACAAGCAGGAACTTGATGAAGCTCTGCAACGGGAGGTATGTCCATGCTGTAATAAGGAAATTTTTTCCTTGTAATGGTCATTAGTCAATGTAGGAACTTAAGCAGACAGATTATTCCTTGAGGAAGTTATTTCTGGAATCTTATTGGTCTCTTCTCGTGCAGATTCAAGCTGCATTTCGTACCGATGAAATCCGACGAACACCTCCAACACCACAAGATGAGATGAGAGCTGGAATGAGCTACTTCCACGAGACAATCTGGAAAGGTGTACCT